TACTATATGATAATTATCTGGAAATAACATTGATTGTATTTGTTTTTCTCCATCTTCATCAAAATACCAGCCATTACGCATCTTAGGTTGCAATCTTCCTGGACCAAGATTCATTTTTGTTGCAACCAATGCTTTTTCAGCTATAGCATTATGATTGGTTGATTGGTCAAAACAAAAAACACCAATACAACCAGGATGAAGTACTTCAAATATTGGAATTGTATATTCTTTAAGCTGTTTTAACATGTGTTCTGATTTCCAATACCCATCTAACTGTGTAGAACAAAGAACAAATGCTTCTTTATACTTTATATAAGGGTTAGCTATCATTTGCTTATCAGATAGCTGCAACAATCCATGACATGAGCAGAGAAAAGCTGAAATCATAATTGATCGCCCTGGATATTTTGAACGTAAAAGATCTTCATTTTTTTGAATCCAAACTTTTCTCTTTCCATCATTTGTATAAAAATGATATTCGTCATGTGTAACTTGCACATACTCTTTTTTATCAAATTCAAGTTAAGGCTCTAATACAATATTTAGCATATCATCACTAAAACTTTTCATATATTTTCTATATATGGAATTATTAATATATTAGATTAAATTAAAAAAAACTTAAAATTGTTTAACAGTTACTTTAAATACATTTTATTTTAATAATTTCAATATGATTTAGATAGACACAAATTCTCTAAATCTAATTCTTAAAATTAACAATTTTGAATCATATCACTTACTACTATCTTACCTATACATAAACATTCTATCTAGTCATTCCCTTCTGTAAGCCACAACATCTGATTGCTCATGCCCATTATAGTATACACCTTTTTTTTCATTATATCTAAACCCCTATAGGTGCATATATGTTCGGCATATTCGTTCAGAGATTGTTTTTTTTTTATTTGATTCATCATTTGGAGAAATAATGTTCTTTCAATATAAGCTTTTAATGTACCTGGAGAGCGTGACTCAGGTTTTTGTTGGTGTAACCAAGCTTGACATGCATCTGAAAAATCTATATTTTTAATCAAACTCTTCAATTTTGTATGTTTTCCCTGATGATCAACAAGAAGTTTTCCAGTTTGAACATAATGATCATCCCATTTTCTAATGTGTCTTGCTAAATAACTTCCTTTATTCTATATTATCTTTGCAATACAGGTACTAGCATCTATTTTACCTTTATCATTTAACAATAATTCTATATATCTGCTTATACTTAAGAGACGTAGATAATCATATGTAGGTGTATTCAAGGATTTTGTAATTAAATATTGATGATTAATTTCATCCAGACACATTTGTAATTTTATAGTTTTATTGGATAATAGTAAGTCAGATATAGAAATTGGGAATAATTGTGGTAATGGTAATAATAAGTCAGATTCAGAAATTGAAGATAATTGCAGTAATGATGATAATACATTATTTGATTGATGTGTTATTGAAAATGAAGTCTCAACATTGCAGATTGGCCAAACCATATTTGTAACTTTGACATAGTTTCTATAAATAATGAAGAGTTTCTTATTGCTGCTAGAAGAGATTTTGATGAAAATTGTGATACTAATGATAGAGCACTAGTTAATAATAGTTGGGATAATAATATTACAGTATTAATAGGTGAAGATTGTTGTGATGAAGCAATTAATATGTTAGTATCTGATAACACATTAAGTTTTTTTGTTTTTTTTGCCAGAATGTTGTTCTTGACATTCCATTACATACTGATCCAGCTTGTTTTTCCTCATAAATATCATCTTGCATTATAGTATCTGTATAACTAGTCTTATTTCGCATTGTAACATCTTCATCTATTTCCATTATTTCACTGTATATATCAACAGTTTCTTTATATATAACAATTGTTCGAGAAGCAAAGCAGCCACATTTTCTAGGTAATTCATTTGCAAGATGTTTTCTTTTGTTTTGACAAGGCATTATAAATTAACTGATTAAGATAATTATTTATGAATTACAAAATTGATTTCAATGTTCAAGCCTTCGAATTTTTTTTTTTTTTTTTTCAATAAAATTTTGCACAATTACAAAGTTTTATTTGCGATAAATTTTATTTTGTGACAAGGTTTTATTTGATAACAATTATATTTAATTGATAGAAAGTAAAGACAATAAAAGAGCATTTAAATCATTTCTGGCAGTTAGTTAATATAATTGGACAATAAATATCACCCAATCAAATGCTCTAAATCTATATATGATTTGTTATGATTTGTTTCAATTTTGACAAAAACATATAAACTTTATAACACTAAAACTTTTTATAGATGCAATTTTTTAAAAAACGAAACTGTTTACTTTATAGAGCACATTCTAAACTACAAAGTTAACAATTTACTTTTTTGAAATCGCTTCTGTCGAAATTGGAGTAGCATTTTGAAAAATATCATATTTCAAATCATATGATTGTTGAGTATAAGCTTCTGGCACCATATTTAATAGCCAAATGCAAATAACTGAGCTATTTGCTGTATACAATTTGATTGGTCATTGTCAAGCATCAAAGATGCAATTTTCAACTAGTCAAATTATTTAGAAAATATAGTACAATAGTGTTCTAATGTTAGTAAAGCATGATAGCACTTTATTAATAAACACATATTTAAAACATTATATGTAGTATTATAGTTATAAGAAAAAATAGGCACTAAGTGCATAAGTTCTTATACTGTATGAATATAAAATACCAAGCATATGAATTTAGCATATGTATTATGCATATATAAGGTTCTAAAATTTATAATAATTTTAAAATTTTAATGCAATCTAACTTATAAGCAGTTTTATATATTTATTTAATCAAAAAGTTAAAATATATAAGTTATTATATAAGTTATAACTGTGCTTTACTTTTTTAATATTCAAGATCTTTTTATTATATTTAATATTTTTTTTTTAGAGTTAAGGTGAGGTTTTGCTCATATCTTTATTAATTTGTTAAAGATGCCTCCAGGGGGCTCTCTGGATATAAATTACAAAATCTATTCCAATTACAAATTTGTTACAAGAGTAAAGCTCAGACTATAGAAAGAAACTAACTGTTATCTATCTAATTTATCTGCAACCTAAACCTACTAAAGTGGTTAAAACTCACCTATATTTGATAGTATAAAATGTTTTTGTAAGGTAGCTATAAAGTATTCAATGATCAAGCTATAAATTAATTTTGTGTAGAGCATGACCAAGTGGTGAGCAAGTATTTGGATCAATATGATTTGAGCTTGATAGTTCACATAAATTGCAGGTTGTATTGTGTAATTGATATCTGTTGACATGTTATATATCATTATAATTAGTTCATGTAGGTCTTCTTTGTTGGTTTTTGGCATACTGTAGAATGTTGTTATCATTTTTCTATTGTGCCAGTTTTGTACAATATGGTTTTTATATTTGTTCATAAACTTTTTGAGACAGCTTATACAGAAGTTTTGTAGTAATATTTTTTGCTTTTGTTTGTAATTAAATAAATAGTCTAATTGATGAAATAAGGCTAATAGGCATATATTTTTGTAATGTTGTATAAATATTAGTTTGTTGCGAAATTATGTTACTAAAAGAAAGGCTATTGTGTTGTAAAAGTATTTTTTGTAGTTTATTAATTTAAGTACTAGTAATATTAGTTATATAAGTAATTGTTCTGTTATTGTTTCTTAGATAAGATTGATAAAAAGTATAGAGTTTGAACAAAGAATCCAATGTAGTAAGTGTTCTGATATATGATATGTAATATAGCTATTGCTAGTTATTGCTTTCAGGTATAAGTTATAAAGATGGAAAAGAGTGAGTAGTATGTTAAGTTGCAGTTTAATTTTAAAGGATTTATTATTGCTAAGTGTAAAGTTTGTATATAAGCTAGTTCTGTTAATATTGTTATTTAAATATAGCCAGATTGCTTCCTAGTTAATTTGTAAGAATAGAGGAATAATTTTGTTTATCCAATTTTGAAATGACCATATAGCTATTATGTGTGCATTGTAGACATTTTTGATTGCTTGTTAGGTAGGTTGTTCAATAGTATATTGGTTATATTATATAATATATAAAGTATTATAAATGTTGTTGTATCATATATTCAAAAAATTTGTCAAATTGTGGTTTGATATAAGCTTATCTGCTTTATTATTAAATATATTGTCTTTATGAGCTAGTACTTTGTGAAGTGTGATGTTGTATTTGTATAATCTAATTAAATTAATAATTATATGCCATATTGGCCAATAATTATAAGAATATTGTCAAATTTATTTTTTCTGATGATTACTCAGACCAAGTTGGTACTGAAAATAGATTAAAGTCTCTGGCTCCAAAGTGGATAATATTCTTAGTTTTATAATAAGTAAACTTGCTGTTGACAAAGCTCAAGTATGTGATACACTGAGGAGCAGGCGAAACTTGAGTAGTTCTTGCCTTGGATTAAGCTTTTTGTTTGGTGAACTCTCTCGCATATTCAGCATCCAAACTAGAAGAATATTCTGGAAGCAAGTAGAGACAAAATCAGTTCTCTGGCTAAGAATATTAGAAGCAGAAGAAAAAGAAGAACAACTAAAAAAATCTTCTTAACTTGGACTCTTGTAACAACAATATATCTCCTCTTCATCTTTTTTTTGTTTTATTTTTTTTGAAAAGTAGGAATTTGACTCACTCTATCAAAAGATTGACATTGTGCATCACTTTCTTTTACAGTTACATGCTTGTTTGGACATGGCAAATATGAAACACAACAAACATGTAAGACAGCCAATTATGTGAAGCAGATCAGAAAAGGATTTAATTCGAAAAGACCAAAAATATATTAAGATATGCATATATTCCAAGGCCATGTGCATAATATTTTTAAAAAAAAGAATTATAGAGGTTTATAACGAATTGGACCACTTAAGTGCACTCCAAACCTTGGCATAGTACTTCATCTACTTGAAGATTTCTCCTATATGGAAAGTGCCTGGCTTGAACTTTGTTCTACAAGTGTATACAGTTTTTATTCTGGTCAAGAGTACCTAGTTTCTAAAGAATAACCATATTCTATAAAATATGAAAACATTGTAGTGAGCAGCAATTGTAGAATAGAGTTTTATCCTATTAGCAGGTTTTCTTCTTTATTCTCCTTATAGATTAGTTTCATTTTTTTTTTGTTTAGTTTTATTTTACTCCCTATTTTTGTTCCTCCCTTTCCCAATTTTCAAATTGATTTTTTTTTTTTTGTTTTTCTCTTTCTATGAGAGATGTCTTCAGATTGGCGGTATCCTATTGTAGGGTGGGAGCCAGACGAGTCATAATTTCTAGTCCTAACTGGATTAGTGCAGCAGGTCGTATTTAGGTACCATTTAGGTGGCTGGATGATAGTAGACTTATAAGTTAAATGATATTCTGTATTTATATATGAAGCTACAAATGGTTTAATAAAGTACTACTATAACTGCTTAAGGGAAAAAAAAAAAATTAAGAATATTGTTTGTATTGTAGTATTATGTTGTTAATAATTTTTTTAAATTTAGAAATTACATAGTATAGATTTGAATATTGCTGTTTCAAGAGCATGTGCATATAGCTAATAAAATAACTTCTAGCTTAGCTTTATATAATGATAGCAGAATTTAATTCAAAAAGAGTAAGTTTCAATAATAGTACTGTTATATATTCTATCCATCCAATATTCATTAAACATCTATTAGTAGTAATATTGGTAACAGATTCATCAATATAAAAAGTAAAGTTGGTATATTTGTTATTTTGGTTTGCAATTTGTTGTAATTTAATAGAAGATAAATTAGTATAAAAAATGAAAGAGATTAGATCTTGTAATAAGGTAATAAATAGGAGTATAGGAATTCTAGTAGAGTTGTATAATGTAATTGAGTATACAAGATCTGTATAATTTGCATTAAGCATAAATTTGTTTGTAGAATTTTGTTGTTTTCTTTCTAAAAATTTTGTAGAAAGAGTAGCAGAAATGTCAAATATACAGTAGTTTAGTATTCTGTTAGAGTTATATAAGCATCCTGTATATAGTATACAATTGATTAATAAGAATGAATAGAGGCTTTTGTTGAGTGCATTTGCTTTAATTGTCCAGTATGTAATGGATATAGTGTTATTTGTATGCCTTTTCTATTATTAATTGTTTACTACAAGTTAAACTCTGGGCATGTTTCTTTAAAGCTTAAATTCTTGCTTTCCTCTTAGCAATTATAACTGCTTCTAAAAACTGTTCTGTTCATATCTTTACTGACTCACAATCTGTAATTTTCAAATACTACAGTATCTGCTTATTAGTATTTAAACTCTTTTATATTCATATTCTATACTTCTCTATTTTGCAAACTCTTATCAACTTTATTAACTTATATAACATTTAGCTTACTTTTCACAAAGTTACTGCATACTAAGATGTTTATTTAATAATCTTGCTAACTAACTTGCTTATAGTCACCAAATACTATTCTTTTTAATATTCTTAACTAACAACCTTTACAACTCTGCCTATACTCTATTTCTTAACTAATTTCTTATTGAAATTTCTATTTAATACTCTATTTGTACTATCTGTCAAACTAATATTATAATATTTTAAATATTTCAACAGTGTTTTTAACAATGGTCCACTATTGCTTTTAATATTAACTGGAAAGTTACTTGGCTTTAAATCAATAATAATCAAAAGGTTTCTAACTTTGCTCATAGCTTCTATTCCTCTACTTTAAAAACCTTTTATATTAAAATTCTCTTGAATGAACTATCTGTTCCTCACATTCTTTACAAATATAACTTCTCTTACTTTTCTCCCTGTTACCAATATAATCAAACTAGCTCTTCATTATACTAAACTCCTTGTCCTTCTATTCAAACAATTTATTACTTAATCTTTAATTCTTTTAATTGTATCTTAAATGCTATTGCTTTTGACATGTTCACCAAACTTG